GGTGATCCTTAGTGACTATACTTTCAAGTCTTTTTTTTTTAAATCCTTGATCAGAAACTTAATTGCTTAAAAAAAAGAATAAAATTTTTAAGCGAGTAGCCTTTGAAACCTAAAAGTTAAGGATTAGTAATACTATGTCAATAGAAACAGCTCCATATGAAATTTTCTTAGAACGGGATTCATATACTTTATGTAGGTATAGTTCAACAGTTTATATTTTTATAGTGTATATGAGTATCAACTTGGCCGTTAAGCTTCAAATTAGACAAGACGCCTAGCAGATTTTTAGAAAAGACATTTTGTCATAGCACGTGATTTTCTGCAGCTCTTTATTTTGCATTTAGCGTGTTTTGTTCGGCAGGGCATTGCAAAGTAAACATGATCTTAATTTCCTCGAATGGAGAAATCGCCTCTTAGGAAATCGCCTTATGGGAGGGAAACCGTATTAATTATGAGAGCTTTCCCTTCATGTCCAGTATAATCCTGATTTCTTGGCTGTACCTCCCTCTGCCGGCCCTCGTCCCTCCGTTTTCCTACCTGAGTAGCCTCATGCCGGCGGTGGCTCCCAAATAAGCTGGTGTTTCCCGGTGTTGTCCCGGGGGAATCACCATCATGGCTTCATTCAGACATTCCCGAAGGGAATCACCTGCTTTTGGAGGATGACTGGCGTAGCTCGATATTCCAGACCCTGAAATGCAAAACGAAGAGCTAGTGGACGGCGTGATGTACTAGGATCAGGATTCCCAACCTTGGGTGCCCAGTTGTTCCTGAACTACAACTCCCAGAGATCTTGACCAGCACAGCTAGGAATGAAGACTTATGGGAGTTGCTGTCCAAGAACACCAGGGTTACAAAACACCGGTCTATAGTAACTTCAGAACACACCCTGCCTCCTCTCTACAGCATCCCACTCTGAGATTTGTTGGACAGACTCTTGGAACATCATGGGGATCTTGTCATGTCACAAAAGCATTTGGAAAAAAGGAGGATTTTCCTAAGCCCTATCAAGAACTGCTGGGGTATGTGTAAAAAGAAGGCTCGGGAGTCAAAGTGCTAGCACTCCACTTCCTCCCTACATGATGCCTGGTGGCCCCACGGGCCCAGTATTGGTGCATCCAAGTGACAAGCAAAGGGGGAAAGGACGGGGCAGAGAGCAGGTGGGCGCAAGTACGTCACACCACGCATGCAGACCCGGTAGTGCAGAGCCAATGCACCAGGAGCAGCCTGCATGATGCCCACGCATTGCGAGTGCCTCCTACAGGGAAGCTGGATTCTCTTCTCCTCCAGATATTCTTGCCCACAGATGGGTCTCCTTGCCTGGAGGCTGAGGGAGTCAGAGAAGCAAACCCCCCACCCTCCCCCCCCCCCCGACACACACACATATATAATACAATGCAGTGATCAGAACTTGCCACTAGAGGGAGCCAGAGACCATGCTATATAGAATGTCCACCAAGAGGGTTTGCTATAATCCAGATTTTTTCAGCATCCATGTGGGGGATATGGAACCGCCGCCCGTGGATACAAGGGTCCTGCTGTAACGGGATGCGGTCATCTGGGCAAGAGGGGCCAGATTTGGTCCAAAGGCCGGACATTTTGCTCATCGGATTTACGAGGGGCGATGCCAGGTCGAAATTCTCCCTGGACTCCTGGGAGTCCATTTTTCCCCACCCTGATTTACTGCCCCTCTGGAAGGGCCTTCCAAACATGGAGAGCACCCCAGACCCAAAATTTCTAGGTCTCTTTTTGGTCCTTATTAAGCTCTCGACACATTCAGGGACCTCACAGCGTTTATGAGCAGAAGCTGGAGGGGGGAAACTGACCGTTGACATGACAGGAGAAAGCCTGGCTGACCAGGCCAGTGTTGTTTTCTTTGTCTGCTGGCCACCGGTAGACAAACAAGGAGGTGTGGGAAGAACCTGCGTCGAACACCATCCCATACTGGAAGGAGAGGGGTTGGAAAGAAAAGAGTCAGGGAGGAAGCTGCAGGTCAGATATACGTCATATTAATAAATATCCTTAGAACGGCAGAGCTGGAAGGGACCCTGTAGATCATCCAGTCCAACCCCTGCCAAGGAGGCAAGGAGGGGATTTGAACTCCCAACCTCCGGCTCCGCAGCCGGAGGCCGGAACCACAGAGTTCTGCAGCAGTTCTAAATAAGCGTTCTCAAACCTGCACTGTGAAACCAAACTCAAGCTCCTTCTAGCAAATTACATATGCTGTATTTTTTCTGTGTATAAGACTATACTTTTGTCTAAAATCTTTAAACTAAAAATTGAGGTTATCTTATACATGGAAGCAAGCTAAGGAGAAAACAAAAACAAGTGGAGGGGAAAGCAGGGATCAAAGCGATCCTGCAGCGCTTTGATCCCTTTCCCCCCACCCTTGCTAAGCCCCACTTAGATTTCTTAATTTTGGATTAGAAAAGTGGGGGGCGTCTTATACATGGAAAAATACAGTAATTTCTATCAAGCAGAGCCCTCTAGATGTTATTATACTGTAGTACCCATCTGCCCCGGCCAGGAATGCTGGGAGCTGTAGTCGGGGAAATACCAGGAGAGGTTCAGTCTGATTTGACCGCCTTAATTTCAGTGTGGGGGCAAAAGGCAATGCTCGTTTCCAAACACCAATGTGTTTCATTGATTAAAATCGGAAGGCATTATAATTTTATAATGATCTGCCAATTTCCTGTTATGATTCCCCCACCCAATTGTTCACAGATCCAAATAGTGTGGTTTTATCAGAGCTGAGAAAAGTGACTGACATGCAGTTTCTTTTAAAAGAGGGGTCAAAGTCGCATCCTGACGAGTTAACCTTCATTGGGGTCTGGTATTATCTTTGCATACTAGAGGGCATGAGCTATGTTATTACCCTCGAGTCAGAGCTGTGGTATTGCTTTTGCACACTTACCCTTTTGCCCACAGGTTGTGCGACGTTGTTGATTCCTACCAAGCTTAGGATCAGGGCTGTAAGGGAGAAGACGGCCAGAACCAGCAGGGCTCCCCTGAAATGCCAGTCTTTTAATTTGAAGCCCATGTCTAGGAATATATAAAAGCACAACCATTTCTTTGCTGATTCCCACCGGCATCTGGCCCGTTTCCCCTGTATTCAGAAATGAGCCAAGGTGGGGGAAGCTTACCTGTTTTGCCTTCCACCCACCGGCTGCTGCGCTGGGTGGAGTATTCTGGACGAGGTCGTCAAAAATATATATATATTTCCTATCTTTGGAAATCAGCTAGGGACAGGGCTAGGGACAGGGCTACTGAGTGGGGTGGCGCTCCATCATAAATAGCTACTCACACATCCAGGCAAGCACGATTCAAAGGAGGCACCTGTTTGCATAAAATGGTATGTGCTTATTCATAGATTCAGAGGCAAACCCGGAGATTAATTTTATACAGAAACAACAGGATGTTGACCGTAGCAAGGAAAAATGGGGAAAATATAGGTTGGAGTTGAGGGGTGGAGTCCGTTATCTTAGAAGAGGCAGTAAGGCACAGTCAATTCCCTGAAAAATTGGAAGCCTTTATTAAAATATGCCAATAAAATAAATCTCGAGATGCGTGCTTTGGAAAACAATTTGGCGCGTTTCGATTGTCGGTCGGTATTTCTTTAAGATGAGACGGGGAATGGTGTAAATGTGATTTTGGGAATAGCAGTTGGTCAACAGTTAAATAGTTAAATGATGTAACAAGTAAGATGACAGTTTACTCTGTTAAGCTTTGTATTTACTTGTAACGTGATGGATTGTCTTTTCTTTAGAAATAAAATTTAAATTTTTTTTTAAAAAAACTTATTTTAGAAGAAGCCTACCTCACAGGATGGTTGTGCAAATCCAGGAGAGAAGAACCCAGTGTCCTTGCCTTGAACTCAACTTGTAAACCTAATAAATGAACAAAAAGTTGACTTATCCTGAACGCAGAACCATGGCATGCTCTGTTGAGGGTCTCACTTCTTAGGTTCTAGAGCCATTTCCTTGCTTTTAACGAGCTTTTTAACAAGCAACGAGACGCCTTGGTTTGCTGTTCTGTAACTCCTGTTGCATTATGGCTTTATTGGCTGTGTTTAACAACAATTTTTATAGGAAAGTTATGGCCTTTTAAAAAAAATTACTAGCTTTCTATCTTATCCTTAGACGTTGTTGCATTATGGCTTTATTGGCTGTGTTTTTATAGGGACGTTATGGCCTTTTAAAAAAAATTACTAGCTTTCTATCTTATCCTTAGACGTTACTGTGCAATTTTGATTTTATTTATTTATTTTAACTGGAAAAGCAAGACGGGAGGAAAGCTACCTCCAACCAGCTTCCTCACACAAGGAAGGCAGAATAAGAATATGTACCGTTCTTCACCTCTGTTTCTCCATCTGAGAATTGCATGTTTCCTGCTCTTGTAATATTTTTCTCCCCAGCAAGGTGATCTGCTTTGGTGTTTCTGTCTCAGAAATCTGACACAGAAAGTAAACTGTAGTTTCATAATCCACCGATAATACAGATTATGCACATATTCTTCTCTTTAATGTGTTTTCACAATTACACCTTTTTTGCCAACTTACAGGAGCACTCCTTGTAGAAACAGATTTCTCTGAACCTGTGATTTGGTGCCCAGCAATTTATGAACCGGTATTTTAACTCATGTGAATGTGTGCTGGGGCTGCGGGGTAGGTCTCAGGAGGTGGTTGACCCACACTTTCTTTGAGATTTTGAAACAGAGTTTGGACATCTCTCCTGAATGGCCAGGGGTTGGGCTAGAATGGTCCTTGGGATCCTGTCCCACTCTACAGTTCTATGAAATCTGGGACATCTTCTCTTCCTAAAACCTAGCTTTCGTCAGCTGTCGGCAGCGACAGAACTCTTGCAGACACGGGAAAAGCCTTTTCGGTGAAACCAAAAGAAAAATAAAGAAGGCAAACACCACAGTCGCGCCTTGAAGACTAATTGCTGGATTTCGCTGTGAGCTTTCGTGGGGCAGACCCACTCCTTTACACAGATTAATGTGTCACTCTTGGCAGGCCGGCCAGGTTTACTGGCGTGGCTTATCTGGAACTGAGGCCAAAGAATGTTGTGCAGAAAGATAAACATCTTGGTTTTGGCCAGGGTTGAGCGGGGACGGTTCGGGAGGTTTTGCAGGGTGTGCTCCTTCAAGAAAATTACTTCATTCCTTTCCTCCTGTAACTTTTTCTCTCTTTTACTCGATGAACATCAAGCTGGCGATCGGGCAAAGGCAAAAGGGCGGATCGGTTTACTTTAATGGGTCCATTTGCCTGTAGAAAGGCAAAGGCAGTTTAGAAAATCAACAAGATACTATCCAGAGTTAGGTAGGAGAAATTACATTTATTTTGGACTGTAATTTCCAGATTCCCCTGGTCAAGCATAGTGGGAGTTGTAGTTCCCAAGTTTGCTTGTTGCAAGAGTTGCGCCCTGCCTGGCGGTGGGAAGGGAGATGTCCGAATCCTGCCCAGGTTTGCTCTGCCATACCTCTCGGTCTGTGGTATAAGCGTGATGGATTAGGACTCCGGAGAACCGAGTTTGAATCCTCATCTGATCGTTGAAACCTATATTTCGCTCCCGAAGGTCCAGCCCAAAACAAGGCAAGCTCATTTGCAAAACATCTTGAGGTGTGTGTGAGGGAAATGGTCCTTATGTGACTATCAAACACGTTCAGCACTTTTCTTAGCTAATGGCAAGTTTTCAATAAGGTTTATTTCACACCTCCTTTGCCTTCCACCTGCTTGGTTGGCTTAGCTTTGTCTGTTTGTCTGCAACAGATCTTATGTAAATACATGGTCAGGAAAGTCAATTTATCCAAATAAATGCCTTGTAGACAAGGCAGATAGATATATAGACACAGATACAGATATATACCAAATGGGTTTCATCTAAACAAGGTACCTGCCCTTATGATCAACGTGGGCCTGCAGCCAGAGAACGCACCTTCACCAAACAGTGGCAGAGGAATGTGTCAAGCCTCCCCCTTGCTTCTCACCCTCCAGAGGGGTTAGAATACAACTCCCATCATTCCACAACTACTGTAGCTGGGGATGATGGGCGCCACAGTCTAAGATGAACACAAAAATCATCATCAGCAAGGCCATGTTTGTTTCCGTGTTTGTTGATCATGACCCCCTCATGGCAACCTCTAGGGAGAGAGGGATAAGGGATTTGTAGTGCTGAAGTCGCTTCCAAGCTCTGCTTTAAAATAGTACGTTTGGGTTTTCTACAGCCGAGGGTGTAGTATTGTTTGAACAAGTTTATTGCGAGCTGGCACGCCGTTCTGCTGTGAGAGCAAAGACTCTATTTTTATTTTAAAGCGTCGTAAATCCTTGGGGCGCCCGGTCATTTTGTCAGCTCAGCCCACCTCCTTTAAAAATAAGTTTAAATAAGGGATTGTGACGTACTGATCGGCTTCTTTCGCAAAAGATTTCAAGAACTGCCCTCTTATCATTTCACCCGGCAACGAAGGTGTTCGGAACTCGGAAGGAAGACCTAGAAAGCGAGATCAACCTTGCCTTAGAACGGAACTTGGTAAAATGTGGCCTTTTGGATGTGTTTGACTACAACTCCCATTGGCACAGCCTAGCATGACCTGTGCTGAGGGATGATGGGCCCTGTAGTGCGGCAGCAACATTTGGGGAACCGGATGTGGTCCACCTTTCTAGCATTAAATGCAACAACAGCCATATCGTCGTCTATCATTTTCGTTGTTCAAAATGGTTATTGTCTGCATCAAATTATACTCTTTCTCTTCTATGTAATTTGTTTCCTGGTTACTGGAAAACTTTTGATAAAGATGGTTCGGATTACATTTTCACAGTCAATAAGGCGGCACCAGACATTTCTAACCAGCGTTTTTTGATGACCAATCTCTTTGAATAAGGAATCTCTTGACACCTGGGAGGGCTGGAAGCAGATCCTCGATCCGTTTCAAGACATGAGCTTAATCGGATAATCCGTCGTGTTTGTAACCTAATGTGTCCATCTAAATAAAATATTTAAAACTCCAGTTTGAATGAACTGGGTGTGAATGGGGGACGCGGAAGGCTCTGAAGGCGAAAACAGGTAGAGAGCTACACCTCTGGAAGTGATCGAGATAATCCACAGGTAAACAGAACTTTTTTTTTCTCCGAATGACCCATCCGTCAGAGAACGGGAAGTTAATCTGCAACCAAAGCAGTGAATGCCATTGGAGGATAATCATACATCTTTTACCACTTAAGCCAGCTCTGCTTCTAATGGCACTTCCTCTCTGCCTGCAGAAATTGCTCTCTAATTTGGGCTCCCTTTGGTTTATAGAACTGATCTGATGGGTTTCTATCTATCTATCTATCTATCTATCTATCTATCTATCTATCTATCTATCTATCTATCTATCTATCTATCTATCTATCTATCTATCTATCTATCTATCTATCTATCTATCTATCTGAGTTACGGAAACCCTTTCCTGGGTTTTCTCAGTATCGATTACTCGAGGGTTGTTGACCCTTTCCTCTAGGGGGCGCCCTGGGGGTGTGCAGCTTGCCCAAAGTCTCCGCCCGCCTGTCCGTCCGTCCATTCATTACCCTGCTTTTCTCCTCAAAAAGAACCCAAAATCTGGTTGCACTTTTGGGGAGGGAAGTAAGTTTTGTGGGCATTTACCTTTCAGCGTCTTCCCGGAACCTTTTGAGGATTCTAGTCCTCTTGCGTTTTTAAAGGACTGCTATGTTTTGCCAGCCTCAAAACAAGAGGTTTGCATTGGCCATTGGCAAACGTGGACAGGATTTCAGCAACGGCAGCAGTATTTATTTTCCACTTAAATAATAACATCGCAACGTGCCAGTTCTGAATTAGGGAAACCCTTTCCTGGTTTTTCTCAGTATCGATTACTCGGAAGTCGGTGACCCTTTCTTTCCTTTAGGGGGTGCCCTGGGAGTGTGCAGCTTGCCCAAGGACTTCCTCTTTTCCTGCTGTTGGTGGTTGGCTGAGTATGATTCGCACTCAAGCCCACCCAACGGGGCTGGTCCGATCCTGGGACACATGGAACTGTTCCTTCTGAGCTTCCTACGTCTTCCCTTCTTTCTGTTTGCACACACCCCAAAAAACTAGCTTGCTGGCTTTTAGGATGATGAACCTATTATTGACCAATTCAATAGCTAATTACGTGGCTTGGATGGCTTTTTGCCTCAGGCAGCAAAGTTTGTTGGGCTAGGACTAACACACACACACACACCCCGTGAGCTTACGGCCGACAAGGGTCTAACGCCAATGGCTACGTAGCTCCCGCTCAATGTCAAGTCAACACATACGTAAACTCCCATGGATGCAATGAGTCTACTCTCGTGACTAGCAGCTGGATTTGATGTAAAGGCACGGTTTTAGTTGAGATCTCAGGCTGTTCAGAACCTTTGATGCATTGTTAGAATCAGAGAATAAAAAGGATCCTAACGGGATCGACTGAAGAAATCGGAAATCAAACACCTTGCTTCCCTCCGTCGCCCTCCAAAGAGTTTTGGGAAGCTCACGGAAAGACTGTCAAGACAGAGATCCTCTCTCTCCAGCAACTGGTCCTCAGAGCTATACTGCTCCTGGCGGTTGAGAAAGAGTTTTGGGAAGCTCACGGAAAGACTATCAAGACAGAGACCCTCCCCAGCAACTGGTACCCAGAGCTATACTGCTCCTGGCAGTTGAAGCTCCACCATATGGCCACCTGGACTAGCAGCCTGACAGCGACTTCGCCTCTGCCTACGGATCGAGCCTAGCCTCCTTTTCAAACCCAGCCATCCCTCAGGGCCACCCCTGGTGGCTGGAAAGCCAGCCAGACACATGAAGATCTAGTATTTGGAGACAAGCACAAAACTGGCCGGTGGAACTCCCTGCCTCCTTACGGCTCCCCCAAAAAAGCGAGGAGGGGCATTTCTCACTTACCTCCAGGGGGTGGAAGAGAGCCGGAGGGGGGGACCGGTCCGTTAGCAAAGGAAGCTTCGGTCTTGCACAGCTGGCGCGATGGAGCCAACCTGTCGCCAGCAACCCAGCCGTGCGCCTTTTGACGTCCGGTGTGCAAAGGTTGACTGCCTGCCGCCCGTCCGTCAACCAATCAACCCCTTTACTCCCTCCCTCTCCTGTCATTGGGACGGGAACGCTTGACGTCCCCTTTTTCCCTCTTCTACTACTTTTTTTTTTTGCTTTAGTCTTTCAGGCAACACCCCTTGGGCAGAGGCCAGGCCTCGGAAGTTTGTGTGTGTGTGTGTGTGTCTATGTGACGTCCCTAAAGGAGCGCACCGAGCGACAACCGCTTCACACGGAAGAAATCAAACCATTTCCTTGATGCATTGGCACAGCGAGGGTCAAAGCTCCTGTATTTGCTTCCACCTGTTTGTCCAGGTGCCACAGGTGAGCTGCTACCTGTCAGATCTGGAGAGAGAGAGAGAGAGATTGGGCCACTCTGCAAACAGTGCTAGAGCCATTGTATAAACCAGGACTTCTCCACCTGGGGTCCCCAGATGTTCAACCGTGGTAGAACGATTGTTTAAACCGACCTGGGGTCCCCAGATTTTCTCGGACTGCAACTCCCCGAAATCGTGGTCAGCAAGTAGCAAACGCTTCTGGAAGTTTTGGTCCAAGAACATCTGGGGAAATCAAGATTGGGGACCACTGTTTTGTTTCATTCTTAAAGTGGATATGAGTTTGCTGTCATTAAGTCGTGTCCGACTCTTCGTGACCCCATGGACCAGAGCATGCCAGGCCCTCCTGTCTTCCGCTGTCTCCCGGAGTCGGGTTAAATTCATGTTGGTCGCTTCGATGACCCTGTCCAACCATCTCGTCCTCTGTCATTCCCTTCTCCTCTTGCCATCACACCTTCCTAACATCAAGGTTTTTTCCAAGGACTCTTTTCTTCTCATGAGATGGCCAAAGTACTGGAGCCTCAGCTTCAGGATCTGTCCTTCCAGTGAACACTCAGGGCTGATTTCCTTCAGAACAGATAGGTTTGTTCTCCTTGCAGTCCAGGGGACTCTCAAGAGCCTCCTCCAGCACCACAATTCAAAAGCATCAATTCTTCGTCGGTCTGCTTTCTTTATGGTCCAGCTTTCACTTCTATACATCACGACAGGAAAAACCATAGCTTTGACTATTCGGACTTTTGTTGGCAAGGTGATGTCTCTGCTTTTGAAGATGCTCTCGAGGTTTGTCATCCCGTTTCTGAACTTGTATTACACTCATAGCAAAGAACGCAAGGTTTTGAGGCGTCCAGGCATTTCTGTCAAGGGGGAGGATGACAGGCAAAGCAGGTTGATGCAGGCAGGGGTGTGTGAGGAGGAGAAAATAAACTGTCACATTGAAGGGACTCGGTCTGTACGATGGCCTCAAGTGGAATGAGGAAGGCTTAGGAGTCCAGGATGAGCATTTTTTAAGATTTCATAGGGAGACAGATAGATTTATTGGTGTAATTTCTTGGGTGTTTCCCAGAAACCAGGTCTTTTCACATGGGGAAAGAATATGGGAGGGAGAGAGAGAGAAAGAGAAGAAGATGTGAGGTCTGGGAGCATACCCGGGGTGATGCAGGGGTGTAGAGAAGTTACTTTCCTAATTTATAACTCACATACACATAACAGTGCAAATCTAGTTGGGTGGCCCCAAAGCAGCCGGTCACTCGGGGAAAGCTTGCTTGAAGAGAAAAGTCTTGGCCTGCTGGCAGAAGGACAGACAAGATGGGGCCAGGCTGGCCTTCCAGTGGGAGGGAGTTCCACCGTCTGGGAGGAGCAGCCACAGAAAAGGCCCTGCGGTTGTGGGGATACAACTTCAGCTCCTCGATCCTCTAGCTTCTGGATCTTTTATTTTGAAACCAAACCGAGGGATCCTTGCCCAAAAACCTCTTATTCTTCTTCAAATATGGAGCAGAAGCGGGAGGGACTTGAAGGGATCCGTTCCGCCTGGCCCCGAGCCTTCGAACCCCTTTATCCGTTTGGCTCTGGGAAGTCTGGAGCGGAAGCCCACCCGGGTTTCTTTCGCCTTCCTTCGAAAGTGGAGAAGGGGGGGGTGTCGACCGGCCGGATGGGTGCAAGAAATTCGGTGATTTCAGCTGAAGGACGCCTTTAATTACCGTCCCAGCGAGTTCAAGGTGAGCTCGTTTATCACTCATCAGCTGATGGTGGCCCAGATCTGTCCAGCCTGTGTGGCGCCAGATGCACTGTTAATTAATCCCTTAATTAGCCATAAATCGCAGGGCATCTTAGATGACAATGGCTTGCTTCGTTTTGTTTCTTTTTATCAACCTGCAGAGCCTCACCAAAGAAGGGATCTAACCCGGACCATTCCCTCCACCTATTTGATCTCCCAACAGAAAAAGTTGGATTTATTTACCGTTTGCTTTTTCAGGGTCCACGAGCGAGCTGGTTGTCTTTCACCAGTCTGACACTGTGTGTGTATGTATCCAAAGTACATATACGGTGTGTACATAAACACACCACTTGTGTAAACGGTACTGTGCGTATAGGCTTTGCGGGGAAAGGCAGCAATGAAGGAATTAGAAAAGGTCATCCAGGGTCAGGATGCGTCAAGGCCAAGATCAGCCACACGATTATATTTCCGATGGATGGCCAGAACGACAAACAAGTGGATCCTGGATTGGATCAAGCCTGAACCCTCTCTGGAGGCAGAAATGACGACACCGAGGCTGTCCTGCTTTGAGCACCTCTCAACGAGGCAGGATTCCCCTGGAAGAGACGATAATGCTAGGAAAGGTCGAAGCAGCAGGAAAAGAGGCAGACCCAATAACACAAGATGGACTAACTCCCTCAAGGAAGCCATAGGGTGGAATTTGCAAGAGCCGAGCAGGGGGCGGCTGAGGACGGGGACATTTTGGAGATTCCCTCCTTCATAGGGTCGCCGTGAGTCGGAGGCCAGTTGAGAGCCCGTAACCACTGCCTGTTTTAACTTGCACCCTGTCAACGTCGGTGTTCGCAGCGGCAACGCCAGCTCTAGCCACACAAGGTTTTGCAGGCTGCCTTCTCAGCCCCCCAGCGTCCTCTCCCTGCTCGATTTAATCCTAATGGTGCATGCATGCCATTCAGTAGCTCGCAATTTCCCAAGGCCCCGTGGGACTGCTTATTTTAAAAAAGAAACAACATATTTTTTAATCAGCATTAAATCTCTGATGGATACAGTTACTGGAATTCAGGATCTCTAAAGGAAACACACGGATGGGTGTTTGCTTTTTTGTAAATTCAAAAAGCATTTTTATGGCATTTAGGGGATTTTAAATTACAAATGGATTTTTGTTGTTTTTTTTCTTGAAGGAGAGGTGGGCGAGAAGATTTATTGAAAACCAAAAAGAGGCTATGAACCGCTGGATAGCTCAGGGGTTTAAGCCTCTGGTTGCAGAGCCAGAAATTGGGAGTTTGATTCCCCCCATGGGGCTTCCTTGACAGGCTGGACTAGATGATCTTTAGGATCCCTTCCAGTTCTGTCGTTCTAGGATTATTTTATCTTTTTTTTTAACCTCGCCTTTCTCCTTGAAAGAACCCAAGGGCCGTTATTATTATCCCAAAAAAGTTGAGGAACAGGATGCAAATGAAAACGAGCGGCTCATTCCACCCTGCCCAGAACAGAACCAGTTTGCCAGCCCAGTGAAACCAGCCCAGCTGCCCTCTTGAGCCAGAGCCGGCCAAATTCTGCTCTCATTCCAGCGTGACGAATTACGTTGCCTTCATTTAAAAAACCGGATCTACCCTGTACGCTGAAAACAGCTCGGCCCCGATTCTACCCTGTGCAGTCCTGGGAGAGGTAGTTTGGTGACGAGACGGAGCGTTACCTCCCGAGACGTCATGGATTTCTCGGGCAGAAAATTCTAACCAGAAACCCCAGGATTCGGCAGGATGGAACCATAACAGTACCTGAAGTTATTATCATCATCCTTAAGATATATCTCTAGATGGTTCCGGTTGGAATGAACTCTCTTTTTTTGTCCTGCCGTATTACTTTTGTGTGTTTTACTGAGGTTTTCTTGGCGAGCTGTGTCGCGTTTTATGTTGGATGGGTTGTTATCAAATAAAAAACCCAAATTATTATTGTTATGATTAATGCCCCACCCCCAAAGTCTTCCATTGCCTTGTCATGGGATAAATGTGGACCTTCTCACAATACTTGTCCTTCAGATTTTGAAGACGCAACATTTAGTTTGGGTGTATTTTGGGGCAAACAGGAAAAATAAAGCATTTAAAAACAAACACAAAGCATGATTCTGAAAGGTGAGCTTAGCGTAAGACGGCGCTTAATGATGCGTAGATCCTCCCTGTTAAATTCTGCCGCTTCGCTGAACACAGATAAAAAAAGCTGAAAGATGTGTGATAAAAGGGTGGGGAGGAAGAAACACATAACCCCCTCCTGATACTGGCTATTCATTCCCATTTTCCCCATATCAGCTTCCTCTTCACAGTTTTCCTCTGAAAAGATAGTGTGCATTTTTTTCTGTAGAAAATTCTGTGTTTTGTTTTTTTTAATGTGCCACATCTGGTCTCGCTAGGAGCCTACAGAATCGAGCATACGGCTTAGGAGCTTAGAACCTTTTTGGGAGTGATCGTTTTTAAAAAGTAACTTTTCCAAGCTGAGAAGGGCACCGTAAGTGGAGAAGACGGACCCGGTTTTGCATGGACCTCAAATTTCGACTTACGGCAACCCTTTTCAGGGAATGACCAACTTGCTGATGATAATGTCTGCTCGTCTTCCATATTTTCCTTCATTATGGCTCGGAATTTGGTACTTAAGACTTCCGGCATTCTGCGCTACCCCCCGTAGAAAACAAAATGTCAAAATAATTTTTAAAAAAGAGTACACGACCCACGTTTCTGACATTCTGAAGGTTTCGTTTTATTAAATCACATCTTAAAACCTAGAAATGTCCAACGGTTCGGGGGGGAAAGGATCTCGGAATACAGAGGAGTTAAAGGCAGGAGATGACGAGCCGGAGTTGAAGGAGTCGCTGGAAGGCAGCTTTTCTGGGTGGACAACTAACAACGTCAAGTTGTCTACTTAAGGACGCTAAAGAAGAACGGTGAGTAAAACGAAGAACGGCTCTGCAGGGTTGTCGTGAAGTCCAGTCAAACTTTTATCCTCCCTTTTGGACACTGGCCGGCCAGATGCCACTGAATGCTCCAAGGGAGGTCACGGATGCCAAGGTAGAAGTAGATGCCATCAAACCAGACGTTTGTTGGGCGCCTATACCCCTCGCCTCTCTGCCCCTGAGTTTGGTGGCCACCGCTAGAAGAAGGGAGAGCGATGGGATACCATGGCCTTCGGCGGCTCCGGCTGTGAAAGAGGTAAGCCACCGATCGATCGGTCCAAAAGGAAGCGGCCGATCTCATCTGCCGTGGAAGAAAGCACCTCCAAAACACATCCGAGTCCGTCTTCAACTCCGTGTAGAGTGAACCGACAGCCGTCGTCCGGTTGCGGTGCCACTGGGGCCCTGCAGCGAAAGCTTAAAGGAGGCCCCAAACGGCAAAAAGCTCTCCAGGTCGTCAGATTCAGCCATGACGTCTGAAAAAAAGTCTCCCACCTAAGCCATTTGGAACAGAAGTATCTACAGTTTTATGTTTTTTTTCCTATTATCCGCGGGTGTTTATGAGTATTATTATCCTGCCCTTCCCTCTGAGAGGCTCAGAGTGGCATCCAAGATGCTCCATTTTTACCCTCACAACCACCCTGTGAGGTAGCATAAACTGAGAGATTGAGTCCCCCCCCCGGTCACTCAGTAATTTTCATGGCTATGGGAGGATTTGAACCCAGGACCTTTGGCTCATGCTCTACTTCTCTAACCACGGTGCCTTTCCGGATCCCTTCTACGAGTCTCTCCTACTCAAGGAAACATTACTTCTTAGTAGCTACACGCACTGAAGACAAGAATTCCATTATCCACAATTTCGGCATAGAAAACGAATCTATCCAACCCTGTATTTATTTATTTTTTTAAACTCGATGTTTAGAATGCCAGCGTTTTGGGTTAATCCCAAATAATCCAGATACAGTAGGGCTCCCGTATCTGCAGGATGAGTTCTAAATCCCACCCCTGCAGATTGTTGAAAAATGCAGATTATCGCAAACGCTATTTTAATAGCCACATAAATTTGGTTTCTGGCTCTCTCTAGTGGCCAGTTCTGGTAATGACATCACGGAAATATATTTCTCTACTGAACACTATACTGTAAATAGCATAGTCTTGATCCCCTCTCGTCGACAGTTCTAGTAATGTCATCTTTATAAATCTCTATTTCTAGGATTTTAATATTTTAAGTCTTTTTCAGACTATGGGGAAGGAAATCAGTGGATACTGGTCCCGCGGATAAGAGGGCTCTACAGTAGTGGTTCATTGAAATTATAGTCAGGGTTGCAGAATACACGGTCCCTAAATTCCGTTGCCTCGTTCTTGTAGCCTTGATGGGTTATCCGTACTGAAACCTGCTTTATCGACGCCCTTCCGCCTCTCCGGCCGGCCCGACAGCAGGAGAGGACGTCACCCTGCTATCGTCTACATCCACGTCTCGAAAACATGGGGAACCAAACCCGCCTCCCTGCCTGCAGGCCGAGGACCAGAGTTAATTCACGCTTGAGAAGAAGAGGCAGTCGTATCCCTGGGGTCGGAGGACAGTAAAGTAAAAAACCCTCAGATATGAGCCATCACAATAAAATAGGGTTGTTGTCCTAAAGGACCTCCCCCCCAAGTATTTTATTGCTGAATACAAGAACGGGTTAAGCCCCAGCGTGACACCAATACAAAACTACAGTCCAGTCACAAAGAATACCGATTACGAACCGTAATAAATTTTGGAGAAAATGGTATTCTGTCAGCCATTCGCTGCACACACACAAAAAAATCTCCAAATATATATACAACAAGAGAGAAAGAAAACCGGGACGACGTTTGCACGCTCACAGTTTTAGAATCCAGCGCTGACCTTGTGAGGTCAAATCCCAGCGCTCGGCTGTCCCTTTTAAAGAAGCCGAAGCTTGAAGAATGAGCTAACGGGGAGACGGATCAGGATTTGCTACCATGAAATGTTTCGCCATTTCCTCCTTCTGGTTGGTTTCCTCCCTCCTCCCCTTCCCAGGATCGGAACACAGGACCCTGCTCCAATGGGACGACAGGAAGCACATCCGTCTCCTGCCTGAATAAAAACACACCCGTCTCCTGTTGAATAAAAGGGTCTTCGCTCCGTAGGAAATTAAGACCCTTCTTGGTCTTGATCCCTCACATTTTGAGACTACGTAGATTAGGAAACAGGAGCTTAGAGTGGTGATGATTTCATCATCATTTTAGAACTGCATAGCGGAAGGGACCCTATGAATTATCTAGTCCAGACTCTCAAGGAGGCACTGTGGGGAATTGAACCCCCAACCTTTGGATACTCAGCCAAAGACTTATACCACCGAGTTGTCCAGTAAGGAGTTGGTTAAGGACAATCATCATTATCCTCTTGGATCCGAAGAGCTGGAAAGGAACCTATGGGTCACTGCGTCCAGCCCTGTGGAGGAATCGAACTCCCAACCTCCAGATCATTCTTGCTGAGATGGACGATGTGGACCAGAATCAGCAGAGAGGGTTGGAAGGCCGGCAAAAAAAACCCCCAGAACCCCCCCGGGCAGCTCCCTTCTTGGCAAACGACGGTGTTACGGAAAAGACTGCAGTGCAAACAAAAATGGCTTTTTTCCCCTGCCTTGCTAAGAGAGCATTCTGCGCACACCGGGGTGGGCCGCTGCGAATCGGATCCGCGTGCGAATGCACCAAAGCCTTCCCGGGAGAGAAGCCAGCGGCATTCACGTCGGTCCGAGAAGATCTGCGGAAGGCGGCCTTCCCAGCTTGACGGTCACCGGCAGCTCGTGCCGTAAAGTCAAGCCAAAACTGTGTCTCCCCTGATTTTGGCCCCTGGTGCCGTTGGTAGATCACCGAAGATGACACGGTTAAGTTCAGAGCGCCAGGGGTGTAAAGCAGCATTGCTCGAGAAAGGCCAAACGGCTTTCAACTCGTTAAGTTTTTTGCTCACTGACTGGCATCATATTTACCTCCTCGTTTCCTTTTCTTTACGTACCACCTTTCTGACGGTTCGGTGGAAGGGGTACTGATGCGTAATGTCTGCGCCACGGCTTCTATAAAATAAAATCACACCCAGCCACTTCCTGTGTCAGAGCTGCCACCCACTGACCAGCCTCGCTTCTCTTCCAAGCCACAAGGCGGTCTTTCCTTCTCCTTTTGAAGGAAACGATCCAAATACTGAATATCTCACATTCCAGTATGCCGTGGCAAAAAAAACGGCAAGGGAGGGTGCGACGATCGGAGAGGAATCAATCCGGAAATAAGAATCCTAACGAGACTCTCAAGGAGTCGCCAGAAGGCAAAATTGTACGGGGAAAGCGGGAAGAACCAAAGGTGGAGGCGAATCAAGATCGTTCCAGAAATGAAGAGGATGACACATAAGTCGTTCACCTCATCCAATATCATTTACGAAATTTGAATTATACTGCATTAACCACCCTTTTTCCTGTTCCTTCTTTTCTGGGTAACAACGGGAGAGAGATCTACCAGGTTTTGTTTTCTTCTCTCCTACATACTTTTTTTTTTAAAAAAATCTGATCTCAAGCATTTCTGCCGAATTTAGGAAGAACTTTTCAAAGGTCTTGATCAAGAAGGAACTCAAAAGACAATTCTCAATCCTCAACATGGTACAGAGGTGACAGACATAGCAATTTGGAGCACGGAAAAGGGCATCGCTCCCTGTAGTGTTAAAGACAATGCAGGCTGTCAAAACGAGAAAAATAGTGGCCACCCAGACTCAGGAAAAACAACAGAGGTTTCGAAATCCATTTTTAAGACACTCTGCCTGGATGAGAGAATCTGTGTTATAATGCTCTCTTGCATCCGATTTTTACGAACTTCAAGTTCTTACTTTCGGCATTCAGGAAGAAATCTGTTAAAACTCCGAAAATGTCTTATCCAGTCACGAACCAAGCAAAAATCTCTCTATCCTTAGAGGAGGTCTAATCCTGCAAGAGAGATGTCTAACATCTTTCGGTTGAAACAGTGGGGAGGAAACAGAAGAGCCTAGCATATAATAATTATTAATTATTATTAAAATAGTTTTGTACAACCCTTTGTGCAGGTATTCCAGCCACAGCTGGCTGCTTTGACTTCCATTAATATTGAGGCAACTGTTCGTAAGATATTGCTGGTTTTACCAAATAAGCTTTGGCAAATCTTATTTTTCATGTCTTCGTGTTTCAGCTCTTTATAGTTACGTTTTAAGCGCAATGCTGCTCGGGTGGGGCGGGAAGGACAGATAACACGTTTACCCCACTGCAGCAAACTGTTGCTATATAGATTTATACATTTAAAAAAAACCAAATATTTTCCTTAAAAAGAGACTTATCCTTATAATGTTATGCTCAAAAATGGAAAGAATTCAGGACCTGAAAAGCCCCTTAAGAAACAAACAAACTAATGACTTTTAAGGGCCAAATCTTAACCTTTGAAGTCATTCTCAAGCAAATGAAGACGGCTCTCTAATTTGGCTTCTCCGACGAATTTTACAACATATGGACAGAGACCACGAATGCTGGACTTCGGTTATTTGCTGGGGGAGTGATCACTACCGATAAGGATGGGTATCGCCTCCCCAACAAGGAAGGACGTGGGCCACGTAGGCTTGTTATGGGGGGGGACGGCCACTTGACCACATGAAAGGTTAAGAAGACAGATTTGGTTCACTTTGCCAACTTTTAAAGAAACGAAACACAAAAGCTGAAATCGGGCAAATCGGCAAATCCTTCCGATTCGAAAAGAGAACACTGCAATCGTCTCTCCCACGAAACCATGGAAACTTACGCATCTGTCAGAGTCTGGGGTTTTTCTCAGATATCCACGTCACCCAAATGTGGTATTAACACAGAGGAAGCTTCCCCGTCCACACACACACACACTTTGAACACATTCCCTCCAAAAAGCTAACACGCGCAGAATTGGCATTTCCGAACTGGCGCAGCCCACCAGCCGAGCCCGATAGGTCGGTAAGAGTGTCGGCGGATTTTCCTCGCAAGCCGACGGAAAATTTCTCCTCTCTGCACAAGGGCGAGAAAGGTAGGCGTTGCGTTTTGAGATTGTGTCCCAGCGTTGTAATGCTGTGCTACACCCCCCAGCGGAGGGTCTTCCCTCCACAATTCAAGTGCTGCTGGTTCCTCGTCAGACCTACAGATTAAAATCTGAATTTTTTTGGGGGGGGGGAAATCACCTAGATGGTAAGAATAAGTGCACAGAGATAAGGAGAGACAGTCTTTTTAACATGGCTATTAATTTCTACTTTGTAGGGTGAGTGTGTATGTACACACAGACATACACACACAAAGAATCTCTTCCTCAGCCACGTTGCCGTATTTCTAAACTAAAAATGGTTGGCTCGGAAGCCAACCGACCCTTTTTAAGGGAAGCTCACGAGGCGTTTCCCCTTCCACGGCTCATCCGGAAACTAAATCAATCAACGCAGACCGAGACGTCTGCCAAAAACGTGTGTGAAAAACCATCCTGCTGGTGATTGCACACAAATTCCCTCTTTATATATAGCTACAGATAGATAGATAGCTGTCTACAGAAGATATATTGTTGTTTCAAATATATTTTCAAGCAGACCAAAAATACCCCCTCTATTGGTTGTGGGTGGGTGTTTATGGCAACAGCTAAGTAAATTATCCCTCTATTCATAGAAAAATCGCACTTATATATATCTATTTATAAGTTATGCTTTCCCTATTAAAATGGACACGCTTTCTCAAAGTCCGAGTCCCTGCAAAGCCCCATAAAGATTTCAGACCTCGCATCGCCAAGGTGCGCAGTACGATGTTCTTCGTTTCCGAATGAGAGAAGAACGTCCATGCGTGAAGCGGGACGGTCCTGAAAACGGATGAGGTGTGCCCTCGGTTACCTGCTTCGTCTTGTAGCGCAAGGAAAAAAAAGAGGAACTTTAGGAACAGTTCGCATTTCCGTAGTTAAGAAAACCTGAGCATGGAATGCCTTAGGGGGAAAGGACGTGAACTGGAGAGTTTTTGCCCCTTTCGCGACCTGGTGATCGGCAGGGTGGGCCAACCTGCCTCGATCCAGAAGACCCCCCTCTCCGTCCGACGCGCGGGCCGGCCCGAGCCACGCCCGAAGACGCAAGCTGCCCCTTCTGAGCCTCTCGACATCACGGCCCACGACGCTCCGTGTTTCGCTCTGCCGAGCCACCGATGGGCTTCCACTGCCACCTCTCCTGTTTAAAAAAAGGTCTTTCTTGCACGCCGCTCGGCCGCCTGAGGTTCCGGTAAAAATCAACCAACTCCCTGCCTGGCCCTCATAAGATGTCGTCGTAATCCAGCAGCTTGGAGTGCTGGCGGGTTTTCCAGAGGCGGTAAAGGCGGAAGTCGAAGTAGGTTTCGATCATTTGCTTCCCTGAAACCAAAAACGGGGGAGAAGATGGAGTCAGTTGGGGGGAGTCGTGCCTACAAGAAGTCCACAGCCACAACCCCCCGGTTCTGTCTGTACTCTCCACTCTCTTTTCTGGTTTTATCGATTGTAAGAGACCTCCCTGTCCTTTTAGATTCTTTGTGCAGCACTAGGCACCGAAATGTTCTGGATCAGTGAGTAACAGCAGGAACGGGAGCAACAGCAACAACAATAATAATGACACCTCTGTTGTATTGTGGGACAGATTTTTCTTCCTAATATTTCGCCAGTCTCTGTGGCCGGCATCTTTAGAGGCATCTCTCCTCCCTTATCAGAACATGACACCCATAACAAACAAACAAAAAAAACACACCATGATCACCGGAATCGCCCAATCCCCTGAAAAGGACAAAAAAGCTGATCCCACAGCTATAAATACTCAACTATCCCACACACTACACCAGAACACAGACAGAGTTCCGACTCCTGTCCTCTGAAGAGGCCAGCCACAGAGACTGGCGAAACGTGAGGAAGAAAAACCTCCAGGACCAGAGGCAAACAGCCCGAAAAACCTACAACCACCATCGGATCATGGCCGTGAAAGCCTTCGAGAATACAATTCTTAGGATTTTTTAGGGGTTTTAAGAAACAGAGCTGTCTAACCAGCCAGGAGGAAGGAGGGTTGCAACTGTCCCTACAGAAATGCCCAAGGGTTTCCAAACCTACGGATCTTAACTTTGGGGGGGGGGGGACAGGAGCTGCCCCTCATGGCAACCAACCTCATCATTTACCTTGAGCAGAGAGTTCGAGCGGGGATTCAAAGGTCACACGGCAGGGGCTCATCAGATTCTTCAGATTCTGGAACAGCTGGAAGGAAAAGTGAGACCGGGTCACCGGGAGGGGCGGGGAGAGCGCAGGATCTGTGCTCGGACAGGCCATCATCACCAGCGGCCAGCATGTCAAAGAGGTCAGAGGGTCAAACGAGGCCGAACGAGGCTCTGGGGAAGGGCACTTTTCGCCACGGCCCCTGGTTTCCCACTCACACACTCAAGCTCGTAGGTCTCACCTTCTCCCCGTTGTGGTTCCCCAAGACGTAACACCCCATGATGTGAATGACATTCGGCTCCGGGTTCAATTTGCTCATCAGGTGGCCCAGCCGCTTCCAGAAACTGCAAAACAAGAGGGGGGGTCTCAGTTGGTCCTCCAAGGGGTGTGTGTGTGTGTGTGTGTTTCTCTCGGGGAGCCACCCGATCGGGGTTCGCGATCTGTCTTCGGACCCTCCCGGAGCTGAGTTTCTGCCATTTTTGGACGGAGCCTCCCCCTCATTCTCCCTGCTCCGGGCGCACGCATATCGCACGCCTGGGAAGACTGGCACGAATCCGACAGGACCACGAGGACGAAACTCTACCTCCGATCTCTCAGGCTTGCAGGGGGCTCTCGAAAGGACCTTCGCGGATCGGGTCCAAGCGGATGCCCTGCATTTCCCAGCTGGCTCCACCGAACGTCCATGTTGCCTTTGGTTTAGGGTGGAGTATCTGGATACTCTAGCTTTTAGTCAAATTCACTCCATCCCATACTGGGAAGCACATGCCCTAGCCCTGTGATTTATTAATTATATTCATTTATATCCCCTGTCAAGTCCAGTTAATTGCGATATGACCTCCCTTTTTTCAGAATTTTCTGGGTAGAGAAGACTCTAAAGTGCTCGACCCTTCCCTTCCTCTAGGGGGCGACCTTGGGACTTTGTGCAGCTGGCCCTAGGCTACCCAGGCTGGCTCTTCTTCTTCCGGGAGGCACGCACACAATGGGGGGAACCGAACTTCATTGTAAAGCTCAAACGGAGGAGACCCAAGCCATTCAATGGGATTTACGGGGTCTACTCGGCACGTAACAAGCCATGAGATTCAGGCCAATCGGACGTAGAAGCAAAAAGGAAGAACAGAAACTTTGGGGGCGGCATTTGAAAGACGGGCCTTTCGACTGTGGAAAAAAAAAATCAGCAGACCGTGGATGATTTACTTTTGAATTGTATTTCTGCTTCAAGGAACAAGGAGAAGGGTGCGATTTTCTGCTTCCTAGGATAACACAGAAGCGGCTGGTCAGGCCGGCTCAACTTGACCCGGTCAAGAGACCACCCGTGGGCATCAACCACATCGAGGCCTGGTGCTCAGCACACAATGCTTTTTTGATAAAACAGAAAAGGATCGGTCCCCTGACCAGCCAGGAACCTCCTGTTTAAAATCTGACACATTTCACGAGGCCGGAAAAAAAGACGTCCCCTTCGACAGAGATCATGCGGATTAGATTCACAGCTATTATTCTTTATTTCGTACACTACCGGCTGCTCACCACAGATGTGGTTAAAAACCACCTCTTCCTTTCTATGAAACACTTTTTCGCTGTATCTTATGTTTGTCAAGTCATATTTGGGAATGATTTGACCTTCACGCCTTTTAAAGATTTTGCTGCTCCGTCCCTTGGAAGAACCACAGGAATGAACATTTTCAGGGTGACATGTTTTATCCCCTCTTTTCGGAACATGAGAGGAGAAAGGCTCAGAACGACCTTCTCTGAAATCCAGCGGAACGGGACCAAATAACACACACACACACACACACATACATTGCATTTCAGACCCGAAATAACGCCAGCGGAATGGACAGATTGCATAAAGAAGGGCCGAAGCTTCTCCCTTACCAGATCATATCTTCTTCTTTCTCCACTTTGGCAAACGTGGCGACTTTATTCTTCAGGAGGTATAAGTGTCCTGGACCGCCCTGCAAGGAGGAAAGACGCAGAGGGTGAAACGGACAGTGCGAGGATTGCCGGCAAAGAGGCAGCCAACGCCTTTCTCCTCCTTTGGCCAGATCTGCCTAGCAAGGACCCCCCCTCCCTTTGGCCACTTTTCTCCGGGGTGCCCTCGGATCCCGGGAGATCCTAAACTCCGCATGACAGCCTCGAGGTTCCTCCCGAGAGGTGGATTACGAGAGCACGAAGAAAACCGCCGGGACCCTCATTCCCACGACGGCGTAAATATTCCAAACAGAGAAAGGGATGTCAAGAACGGGGACTTTGAGAAGGGATCAATCAGTCCTGCGTGGATCGGACTGACGAAGGGCGGACATCCCGTTTTAACTCACGACGGGAGGAATCCGCGGAATGACAGAGGAGCTGGTTCGCTAAACTCCTCCTGATTCAGTGGGCCTACTCTGGTGGCAACTTACTGCTGGATTCCAGCCTGCCTGTTTCCTAGCGAAGAGCAGGAGTCGGTGGCGGACGTTGAGTCCGCCTAGTCTCTCTCTCCGGAAGTCACCCAAGATGGGGATCTGGGATTCCCTTGGGGGGGGTTAACCAGAGAGACCATCCTGGCCGACAGGATGGCGCTGTGCACTTGAGCGTCTTTCCTTAGGGAAGGGCCATGACTGGGGAGGATGGGGAGAAAGATAGGCTTGATGAGAATCATCTTCTCCTAAGGGGGGAGAAGGTCTTGTCTTCCAGGTCAACAGCTCTGTGAACACGCAAGGCAAAGTACAGAGGGTGCTTGGGGAAGAAAGGATGATTCCTCCTACCTGACAGAAAATCAACATCTTCCAGATCCTGCAGCCCTTTCGGTAAATGGTCAACTTCTTCTCAATTTCCTCTGCAGAAGGAAAGGAGGAGAAAGAGGCCCCCAGGTGATTCACGGACCGGGTGGAGAGAAGTCTTCATTCGGCAAGATGTGCAACGCGGAACGAAGCCCACAACAAGGAAAGGCTGGCCCTCAAAGGAAGCCTCGGGGTGCAAGGGGGACATGACTCCGGATCGTGCGCCCAAATATTGTCAAACACCCAGCACTGCCAAGGGTATCGGAAGAAGGCCTGCGAGGACCAGCAGGAAGGAAATGGGACCCACGTCCATGAGTTAGGCTGCTGGACTGCGGGCTTGAAAAAGCGGGGTGCTAGTCCTCATGAACCATCAAACCCACGGGGCCTGCTCATTCTCTCTCATCCTCATAGGGCTGCGATGCGCATCAAGCGAGGGAAGAGGGGAAGGTTTGCACTTAAAGAGGAAAAAGATGGGATCTCAAAAAAAATATATGCACGGACTGCTTTCGGGCTTGGAAAGCCAGGAGCAGAAAGCTAAGGGCCTACTTCTGAGAAGGCAGCCTTTCCGGTTGGACATCCACCCTTTCCCTCTTTCTGTACCCACGGCAGGGAGATCTCTTGTGGAGATCATGGGGGGGATCCCCTCCCAAACCCCCTTACATTCCCCCCCCCGGACACCAGTCAAAGGTTCAGTCAAAATATCGGAAAACTGGCGTGGCACAGCGGCTCGTGCGTTGGGCTGAGACCCAACATACGCTAACCGAATGAACTTGGGGCCTGTCTCTTTATCTCAGCCTGAACGGAGGCCGTCGTTCAGGGGATGGGGGACGAAGGAGCCAATGTGTCCCGTCTTAAGCTTATGGACGGAGCGGTGGACGATCCACGTAACGAACAATAACGACTCCACTCACGCCTTTCCCAAAACACTCACGTACCCAGAATGTCATCGAAGGTGGCGTGCTCGTGATCCTGAAAGGAAAACAGAAAAGCCCGGCTCAACATCCCAGATTTGACCAGCCCACAAGGGTGACAGGAAGCCGGATTTAGGCTGAATGTCAGGAAAAACTTCCTAACTGTTAGAGCAGTACGACAACGAAACCCATGGTGCTCCGACGCTGGAGGCTTTTGAAAAGAAAAGGGGGCCACTGTCTTCTTCCAGATCTGCCTCGATTTGGATTCCTGCCTTGAGCAGGGGGTCGGACCCGACGGTCTTAGAGCCCCCTTCCAGCTCCATCATCCTACAATCAGAGTGGAGGCGGGCTAGCCGACGGCGACTATCAGCCCCACCCGAATTTTTTACTATAACTGACAGAGAATCCAGAGAAAATCTCCCCCTCCACTCATTTCGAAAACGCACCCGGAGCTGGTCCTTGCAACAGACTTACGTAGAGAATGGGGATGATGGACGGGTCGTCCCCGCGGATGATGGTTGGAATGTACTCCGCTTTGGGCACCTTGGAGGAAATGAGCTGGAAGGGGGTGGGGAGGGGAAAAAAAGAAGCAGGAGATGGAATTAATTTTGAGAAATGCACCGGCTAGGATAGATCAAAAGTTTAATTATTTGGCTGCAGAGCCAGAGGTGGCGAGTTCGAATTCCCCTCTCTGTGTCTCCTGGGAGAAGAGCCAGCCTGGGTAGCCTCGGGCCAGCTGCAGGGCGCCCCCTAGAGGAACGGAAGGGGGAAATCACTTCTGAGTCTTCTCTACCCTGAAAAGTGTCATGGTGAGTCAGAACTGACTTAACGGCACAGGATTATTTTTATTTTAGACCTCTGCATTGTGCCGTTCCTTGAACATCCAGCTCAACTACAAAGCCTATGACTGCACAGGAGGGAGCCTAGATCTTGTGGAGGAGTGCACCGAACACTGGGGGATTCACAGTGACTCGCCGTCATCATCCTCACCCTGCAGATCCTGTAATTTAGAACCCCCCCCTCCCGGGCCCGTCCCGCCACTCACCATGATCTTTGGCGGGACAAAATCTTCTCCCCTGCAGGCCGTGGCTTCCGCCTCCTTTTCCGCCTCCCAGTTCAGGTCGACCCCTTTGTCGAGGGCGCCGCACGAATCCTGGAGCTCATGGCCTGCCGGGGGGGGGGCACAGCAGCGAGAGCGTTGCAAAAGGGGCCCGCAACACACAACACCCCCCCACACCCTTCAACAACCCTAGCGAAGAAGGGGACCCGTTTGATGATCGAACTCGTTCCCGACGGGACGAGGACAGAATGTATGGATGATGATCAAGGATGAAGCCCAGAATGATGCTTTTTGCCGAACTCAAAAGGAGAGCAAGCATCCGGCGTTTGCGACTGCCTTTGGACACACCGTCTCGGCCCCCAATCGGTTCCTTGCCTGCTAATCCTGAGAGCATAACATAGGACACGGGAGGTATACCAGACCCATTAGCCTATCTTCAGCGCTCTTGGAATACAGCGCCCAGAATTCCTGGTCCGGAGAGCTCATGGCGAAGGCTTCTGGGGGTTGTAGTCCAAGAACATCTGGGGAGACCCAAGGCGGGGAAGCGATGGCCTCTATCTCATTCAGAGCTGCCATCTCCAGGTATGGAGGACCTGCGTTCAATTGGGCTCCAATTCCCACGACCCAGGCTGATGGGATCTCTAATCTAGCATCTAGAGGGCCACACACCCATCCTCTTTCTCTGAAGGACTCCCTCGTTGGTCTATTCGCCTGTTCACTGAACTTGTGCGTGTTGAACCGTGAAATCCTCAGCCCACACATGCTCGGCTATGAAGACCTGCAGATCTCGGGAAGTTACTTTGTAAGGACTGGGGCAGGAGTATGAAACAAGCCAAGAGGCAACGCACTAGAGCCCCCCAAATAAAACACCCTTCTCTCGTTGGGAGGGCAGGCTGCTTCCCTGGGAATGGGTAGCAGGCCACCGCAGGGTGGGAGAGTCTTGTCTTGACCACCCTAAGTACCGTATTTTTTCCGTGTATAAGAGCCCCCCCATCGCCCACTTTTCTAACTTCAAATTAAGAAATCTAAGTGGGGCTTAGCAAGTGTAGGGGGGAATGGATTAAAAAGCTGCAGGATCGCTTTGATCCCTGCTTTCCCCTCCACTTGTGTTTGTTCTCTCCTCAGCTTACTTCCGTGTACAAGACGACCCTCAATTTTTCGTCTAAAGATTTTAGACAAAAGTATAGTCTTATACACGGAAAAAATACGGTAATCAACATTGAGGTCAAGCGGTAGAAGGTTTATGGCCCCGGATCAACCTCGAGAGGGTCAGATCCTGGCTCGCTTCAGCTTTCCCAGATAAGCAGAAGCTCGGTTCTGTCCGCGCTAATCTCAGTTAACATTCAGTCCAGGCCAAACCAGTTAACGCGAGAGATTTTTGGGGAGGGGGAGAGACTGAGGGACAGACAAGAACGTACTTTCCCGGGAATCATTGAGGTTTTCTGGCTTGATGGGAGTTGGGTCGCTCCAGGACCGGCTGAAGCTTCTCTCTCGCCGCTCAGCAAAGGCTAAAAAATTATATAATAATAATAGTAATAAGAAGGGGGCAAATTAACAACCAGCAAAATAACACACACCTAGCTGGGTGCTAACTCCTCCATGGTGGGGCAACCAGATGGGCCAAAGGCAGGCAAGGCTGTGTGATTTTATATGGGTCGGCTCGGATGAGACAACATGACAGCGAGTGAGGGTTGCTTTCCCCCCGCTGGGCCCCTCCCACTAGCTGGGGATGATGATGAGAGTCGTCACCGCCAGTACAGTAGGAACCCCCCCCCCGTATCTGCAGGAGATTGGTTCCAAGCCCTCTGCGGATGCTGAAAACTGTGGATAATCGTGAATGCAATACATCACATGGTAAAAAAATATCCAGGAAAAAAAAGTATTTTTACCATGCATTACCAAAACTGGCCAAGAGAGGGAGCCAGAGAATAAGGTCTGTATTCTTCAACATGACATCCTCACTTGGCTCCCTCTAGTGGCCTGTTCTGGTAAACACATGGTAAAAATATGTTTTTCTAATATTATTTTTTTTAACCAATCACAGATAATGGAAACCACAGATACTGATCCTGCGGATACAGGGGTTGTGCTGTCTCTGAATGGACCCAGAATGGGTTACAGGTGAATATAAGAGATACGTCAGCTCTGGACGGCTCCTCCCACCTTTGCCCGGTCTCCCCACTCACTCACTCTGCGCCTTCATGCGGCGGCTCCCCACCATGCGAAGATGCTTCCTGAAGTTTCTGGAAAAAATAAAAGCAACAAGAATAAACAAGAGGATCCTCAAGAGGAAGAGAAACCACCAATGGGGGGCAGGTGGGAGAAAAAAAGTATGTGCTGCTTATACCCATTCCGCTTAAAGCACTGTCGGGCTGGTTTATGAGTTAATTGTGCAGGCTACACGCTGCCCCCCGCCAGCAAGCTGGGTCCTCCATTGATCGACCATGGAAGGACGGAAGGCGGAGTGAACCTTAAGCTGGCTAATTGAGTCCTTCAGGATCAAACTCAGGGAGGCGGAGTGAACCTCAAGCCAGCTACCTGAGTCCGTCAGAATCAAACTCAGGTTGTGAGAAGAGTCTTGACTGCAAGGCTGCAGTCGAGCCACTGTGCCACAAGGGAAACACATTGCAAGGGGTGGAGAGAAATTTGGGGGAGCCTAGGAAGGGGGCCAGGGGCTGAGGGGGTGATCCACAGAGGACTGGAAGCTACTGGATCTATCCTCTTTCAGCAGGAAGTTCTGGGTTGCTACTATAAGCATTTTAAACTGGCTGGAACGCATAGAGATGCCCGCCGAATCGTCTGCTCTGTGTGTCGAAATAAGCCAAATAGCTTTGGAGTATTTGGGAGGGGGACGCGTGGGCAGGGATCCTTTGCTGCTCTGCCTCAGGCAGCAAAAAGACGTGGGCTGGCCTAACAAAGCAAGGCCTTTGCCTCCAGTTTCCAGCGAGGATCCTGATGCGAAACACCCCCCAAAACAGAACACGGCGTAGGAAAGCAAGCGGTGTTGCTTCTACCCCAAACCACCTGAGCTGTATAGGAATGTTCCTGGTCTGTATTCTGCAGGCCTTGTTTCTGGGCTAAACGACCGCTCCTGGAATCTCTCAGTGGCCCTGTAGGGCTGGGGTTCAAATTTTGGGGAGCTGCAGTCCTGGAAAAGGATTATTATCCAAGACCGGATGGAGTGTCTTGCTTCTGCAATCTGTTTTTCCTAGTAACCGTGTTCGCCCCAACCACTACCACGAGGGGTCCCCCGAGTCACGCTTTCCGATTCTCCGAATCCCTTATGGAAGGAGATCTCCCGTACAGCTCTACAGTTCTTTTTTTTACAAGGCTAACGATAACGATCTAGAGTTCTTTTTTACAAGGATAACGATCACAACAAGGACGACCGACATCAGCAAAGCACAAGGTTTCGCCCTGGGGCAAACAGGACATTATTTCAAAGAGAGGGGAAACGGCTCAAAAATTCGGGACGACAAACGGGTTTAGACAATTCGCGAAGCGCCGAATTTTGGTGCCAGGCTCGAAAGCGGGTGCTGAGAAAGAGAACGAGGACACGCTGGGTTGTGTGTTGTGTGTGTGTCTCGAGATGGCCCTCACCGAAAGCAGGCAAAGGGTCTGCCCCTGATTTTTCTCCCGCCACCCCAACCCCCCCCAAGGAAACAGGTGCAAAGCGAGTCAGGTCTGTTTAGCCTCTCTGCTGGAGTGCAGGGATCAGAACCCAGACCCACGGGGGGGGCATGTAAGGGAGGATTCTCCCCCCCCAGGACGGCGCTCAGCAAGAGAAAGGATGTTGCGTGCGTGAGAGAGACAGGGAAAAAAATAAAAAGAGATTCCCCCCCGCCTTTCTTCTGGAGTACACAACACACAAGCACGACTGTGACATCCACACTCGGTCTGGTTACTATGGAGACCGTCCCCGCCGGCGCACACGCTGGGCCCAGCACATGGTCCCCGATGCACAATTAAACCCGGCATGGGGGGACCCAGGAGACCGAGGCCGCTCCGCGCCGGAGGCAAGACCCCCGTGTTGATCCTGGGTGCAAAACCCGACCCCCCTGGAGGGGGAAAGAATGTGGCGGGGGGCTTTGGGCTACTCGTCGCATCCGCCCTACAAACCGCAGGGGGAAAACCTCGCCATCCTCTGCGAAGCTGTGCCGCGTCCGAGGAAAAAGGGGCCGAAGGATGGCCCAGAATTTCTGCAGCCGTAGCCCCGTAAGAGGGAGGCCACCGGAGAGATATCCTGATAGCAGAAGAGAACGGTTTTCTGCTCTGGGATGTTTTAAACTCTCCAAACGTCTTCCGAAGACAAGCCAAAGATGAGCAGAAGGAGAAAAAAAAACACCTGTCATGCTGGCTCTCCCTCCCTCCTCCAGAGAGGAGGGACTCATGTGGACTAGCAGCACGGACGCCTTTTCAAATTCTTCGCAACGCAGACAGCCACCACCGTCCGCTTCTCAGCCAGCCTCAAGCAACCGGTTTCCGTTCGTGCCAGCAAAAGCCGGAAGGGGGCACCACCCAAGCAGTGCCCACAGACACCCCCCCCAAAATCACCTTGCCCCACAAGGCCAGCCCTAGCCGGGAGCCGGATTCAAGCTTCTCCCACAGAGCCAAGCATGGCAGCCGAGCACCGGCGGTGGGGAGCGGGGAGCGTTGATCGCATGTCCCCTTTTTTTTCTTCCAAACATGCAAATCAGCTCCAAGCAAGGGGTCTGGGGCAGAGAAAAGGGGGCACTTTGCACCCCGGTGCAGATTTTGGCCACGACAAGACAGCCGACCGGGGGGGGGGCTCAGCCAAGCCGGGGAACGGACAGCGGCCTCCCCGCGCGGTCAATGCCTTATAATGTCTGCCCAGGTCGGAGAAATGGGGCTGAAAGCAAAAGACCCCATCCAAAAAAAACCCACACAACAGGGGCAGCTTCTAAAAAAAACACCACAGCCCCCCAGATCTCACCTCCATCACAGCCTTTCCCCCCCCAAAAGGATAAAGCAGAGCTGAGCCGTCTCGGCCGACACCCAAAGGACCACCATCTCGCCCACCAAACGAGCCACTCGGCTTGGCCAAGGCTACTCAAAAGCGCCCCCGGGCTAGCCCGGCCTTCTTAACGGGACGCCTGTCACGAAGCTGCTTTTTCTCCCAGGTTTCCTTTTTTAATGGGACGTGGAAGCGTTTCGGACCTTGGTTGATTCCTTCCGCGATCCGGACGGGACGGAGCCCGAGGCTTAAAAAGTCCGGATACCGAGGATGCCGAAACTTCCTAACCCTCTCCGTTAATTTGATTGAATGCTATCGGGTTTATTCACGAGGTGGGCTTGGGTGGTTCATAACTACTTTTATCATTTTGTATATTGGCTCTTATTAAGATTTTACATTAAAGAAAAGTTTCACGCACGCAGCAAAACCCCGACCGGTAGAATCCAGGTGCAATTGGGTGGATCCACAGAGGGGCTGCAAGAGTGAAACGGGTGTGTGTGTTATCCCTTAAGACAAATCTCACCTCGTTCTCTAAGGGGTTCCCAACCTTGGGGGGGGGGACGACCCAGATGCTCTCGATTAAAACTCCCAGAAGCCTTTGCCCCTAGCTGCGCCCACCAGTCAGGATTTCTGGGAGTTGTCGTCCGAGAGAACAACTGGGTTACCCAAGGCTGGAGAAATGGGCTCGCCATCGGCAAGACGGCCATCATCATACCACCCACCTCTCCCGTGAAGGTGTTGCAAAGCCTGCTGAGTTCATCGGTAGGGAACGACAGGCCTCCAGTTTTCGGACTCCCAACTCCCATCGGCCCCAGAGCCAATGGTCAAGGATGATGGGAGATGTGGTTAAACCGCTTCTAAAGGGCCACAGGGCCCATCCTTTGCTGCGTAATAATAACCAAGTTCCATTGAGTCAATTCTCACTTTTTCAGAATCAGACAATTTTCTGGTTTTTCTACATAAGAGTGTACTCAAGAAGTCATTTCCCCTTCCCTTCCTCTAGGGGGCACCCTTGTGACGGTGCAGCCGGCCCAAGGCGACCCAGGCTAGCTCTTCTCCCACGAGACCCAGTGGGGGGTGGGATTCAAACTCGTGCAACCTCTGGCTTGGCTGCCAGAGACCTAAACCACCAAGCTATTCAGCCAGCGGCAAACAAGCTGAACATTACGCTAGCTCTTCTCCCACGAGACCCAGTGGGGGGTGGGATTCAAACTCGCAACCTCTGGCTCGGCTGCCAGAGACCTAAACCGCCGAGCTATCCAGCCAACGGCATAAACACTGAACATTACAATTTTTAATCCGCCAATTTGAGAAGAAGAAGGTTTTTAAAGCTAGCCAGCCAGCATCTGCCCTGGAGGGTCAGAGAGGTCTCTGATTTCCAGAAGGTGATTCAGGAGCTGGAAGGGTATTTTTTGCCCACAGATGGATTTCCTCAGAGTTGGTGAGGTCCCATCCTATCTTACGCCCTGAAGGGCTTCTCCTTCAATTAACTTAAGCTCTCTTCTCTATTTACCGTTATCAGCAGAACTCGAGAGAAGCCTGTACAACTTAATTAAAACTCCATCGCGTTTGGCACAGATAAAATAAAATTTTTTTGGCCGATCGACTGGATTTAGCCTGCGGTGGTCGACGCTGGTTGTTTGCTCCTTCCCCTGGTCTGATTTAGAAAAAAAGGGGAGGCCGCTTCTGGGGTGTTTCTCCCAAGCCGCTTTCTAAGAAGAGAAAAGCGTTTGTGACAGATCCTTCCTGTTCCCACCCCGTTAATAAATATTTGGCCCCTGGCTCTTGCCAATTTTGCTTCTGGAGTGGCCGTGTCCCGTTAAGAATTGCAGAGCGGTACATTTTCGTTTTGCATCCGTTCTGTGCAAAAAACTCCTGGGCGCCCAACCGAGGCAAGCAGCCTACACAGCAAGCAGATGCCAGAAAGGTTTGGAATTAAAACCTCCGCCAGCAAGGCGAGGATCGAACCCGTGCAAGGCGAAGACGCCCTCTCGTACCTCTGGATCAGGGCTGCGGACTCATTTTCCCGTTTCCGTCTCTTCCTCTCTGCGTAGCCCCTGAATGCCCTGGGAAACCATGTCGAGGCATTAAAACCAAAACTGGAACAGCTTTGAAGCTGGGGTGGGTGGGATGATGTGAAAGGAAAAAAGGGGAGGAAGCGAAGGAGAACACAGGAGGGAGAGCCAAGAAGGAGCTAACTCCCCGACGAGGAGGAAGGAGGGGAGACCCAGAGGAGACGCAAGCCACGGAAAGGAGCCACAGAAAAAGCCGAGAATTGCAGACGGACGCGGGGTGTTAGTTACACACGGGTTGGCACGAGGAAGGATGAGACCCGGAGGTGGCCGTTTGCAAGAGAAAGGCAGTCATGTTTAGCATGGATTTAAAGCAGCCCTCGCTCTACTTTTTAAAAACTACAGTATTAGAGCAAGGGAGCGTCTCGCTAGTTCGAAAGAAAACGGAGCCAGAAGGAGCAGCAAAGAAATGAGAAAACAGGAGCAGGTTTTTTGGCTAAGTGTTAGTCCGAAAGCTCTTAAGGATTATGAGCGGGACAGGTTGGAGAGAGCGGAGCGCTCCTTCGCTGGAGAGGTTGAAGCAGAAGCCGGGCGGCCGTCTGCCGGCGGCTGAATTTTGCACTGTAAACCCTGCCCTAAGCAGGGGGGTCAGACTAGATGACCCAGCTCCAAATCGTATTATTTGATGCCTGCCCCGTCGGCCTATAGCGCAAAAGGAAAAGGGGAGAGAAAGAGGCAAGCTTCCTGGTATTACCAGTCTTAAACTTAAAGAGTGAAATAATAATAATAATGACCTCAAGAGCTGGAAGGGACCCTCTCGATCACGGAGTCTAGCCTAGCCCCTATTAAGGAGGCCTGGGGGGGGTGGTGGTATTTGAACTCCCAACCTCTAAACCACTAAGCTATCCAGTAGTTCATTCAAGAGCTGGAAGGGACCCTCTCGATCACAGAGTCTAGCCTAGCCCCTGTTAAGGAGGCCCGGGGGTGGTGGTGGTGGTATTTGAACTCCCAACCTCTTAAACCACTAAGCTATCCAGTAGTTCATCAGATAATCATCGTCATCATCATCTTAGAACTGTAGAGCTGGCAGGGACCCTCTAGATCATCCAGTCCAGCCGCTGTCAAGAAGGCCCCTCCTGAGCCAGAGGCCTAAAACACTGAGCTTGTCTTAGTGGATTACAGGGTATAAAAATTCCATTTATTGAGTGCGTTTAGAAAATGCCCTCCTCTAGCGTCCCACCCATTAAGACCCGCGGAAGCCTGTTTTCAAGAGAAACACCCTCGTCCCGGTCTCCCCGAAGGGTCTGAAATGAAACAAGCAGGGGAAAAATATAATAACAGGAGCCAAGGAGGAAAAGGGAGGGATTTAACAGCTGGTTCTAATCCCACGCTCCCACTTGCCCGCATTTGCGAAAGCAGCTCTGGAGAACTAGGGTAAATAATTCTAGGGAAATATGAAGGCAGAGAATATCTAGAAACGATAATCTCTCTGGCTTGCGAGTGCAGAAGCCACATCTGGGCAGCTGTTGACTCTTTTGTACAGAGATCCACAGATTGGGCCGGATCCCGGGGAAAAGATGGCGTTTGCTCCCAAAGGTGTTGACAAACATGAGAAAAAGCAAAGGAAAGTTTATGGAAGAGAGGGTTTGGCTGTACTTACGAGATGCTGATGGTCCCCGAGGAAAAGGCAGAGAGGCAAAGAGACAAGAGAAAAAGCATATTAATAAAGACATTCTTCTGGGCTTGGATTTTCTTTTCTCTTTTTTCAAAATTGTGACACTGAAAATATTTGAATGGTGGAAACTGGCCGGACGGGGGCTGCCCCATGTTCCTTGCGCAATGGCGAGAAAGAACTGACTGCCATGCACAAGAAGAAAGACAAAATATATAATGGGACCCCTGTATCCTTGGGGGATTGGTTCGAAGCCCCTCTCCCGTGGATGTTGAAAACTGTGGATAATAATGAACACTATACATTGCATGGCAAAATATTTAGACTTTTTATTATGTATTTACTATAACTGGCCACTAGAAGGAGCCAAAGACCATGATACATGCAATTTTCAACAAAAACATCTAGTCTCTGGTTCCCTCTAGTGGCCAGTTATGGTAAATACAGCCTGAAAAGATGTATTTCTAGGGTTTTTTAAAAAATGTTTTAAATATTTTTCAGATTGCAGATAAGTGAAACCACAGATACACGGGCCTTACTGTATATATTGCTGTCATTATTCAGCAACGTTCTCTTTCCCATCCTTTGAACGTTTACTCTTCAAGATCCCTGTTTAGTAAACGGTGCTAATATCCGTCAAATCATTGCTAAAAAATTAATAATAATAGAAATGGAAAACCCAGACACACACACACAAAACTACAACAGGGTTTGCTTTGGGAGTGAAAAAAAATGGGGGAGTGTTTTGTTTTCAAATTGGCTTCGGTGGACTTGTTCCTTGTAGAAGTGCAGAAGGGAAAATCCAGCTTTGCTCAACCGTTAAAAATAAGAACGACCGGGAGGGACCAGAGGTGTTTTTGATCCGGAAGGCCCTCGTCCAACAGCTCCGCCCTTTCGCGTTTTAAACTCACGCTTGCATAGTCGTCGTAGCTGTCTGGAACGTAAAGAGGTTTTCTTTTGGAAACCACGTCCTGATGGGGACATCGTCTAGCGAGAGAAAGAAAACTCCGTTACGAACCACCACAGAAGAAAAACAAAGAGTTCCTTCCCAGTTATCAGCTGGTCCTTTACTACTTTTTAAAAAAAATGTAAGGACAACACTCATTAAATACTGCTAAGAAGGAGATGGAATTGTAACTCGGAATATTTTTTAAAAGCCACTTTCCACGCCCTGGAGATTGGACAAGCGGAGCCTTCCATTATTCTTGCTCGTATTTGCACGGGAACATCATGGCCTTGTTAAGGAAGCCGTTACGAACCCGTTCCAGCAGAACGAGACCACTTTAAGAGCTGTAGGAGGTCCGTCTCCGGAAAAGACCATCACGCTAGGAAGGGTGGAAAGCAGTAGGACAAGAGGAAGACCCAACGGCGAGACGGACCGGCTCCCTCAAGGAAGCCACGAGCGTTGAGTTTTCCAGGGCATTTGAGGATGGGAAATTTCAGAAGGTTGCTCATCGGTGGGGTCGCCGCGACAGAACCACCGCCGTAGAATTCTCTGCTAGGATTCCGGCAAAAAAATTACGGAAGCGCCAGCTGGCTGGATAGCTCAGGGGTTGAGCTCTCTGGCTGCAGGGCAAAAAAGCTGGGGAGTTTGAATCCCCCTGGGAGAAGAGCCAGTTCGTGGGCACCCGTTCGGTTTAACCAATGCTAAGCTTATTTAGAATGCCGTATGGCTTCTAGCCAACGCTATACGTCGTATGGTCTCTGTCTCTCTCTAGTGGCCACGTCTGGTAATGACATCGTGGAAACTTAGCATGGTCTCTGGCTCGCTCTAGTGGCCAGTCATAGTAACTTCATCTTTCAATATATATATATTTCTGGGGATTTTTCTTTTCATGTTTTTTTAATATCTGCAGACCGCAGATGAGTGAATCAGCGGATACCGATTCCGCGGATCTGGGGGTCCTACCGTACTTGCCTTTTTATTGGTTACACGTCCTTTTATTTATTTTATTGGTTATACTGAGCAGTTGGGGCTATTGCTTATTTTTAATCTTTGTCCACGGCTCAGAGCGGCGCCGGAGACGAAGTCAGCGGCGTATAAATTTACGGGATAAATAAGTGGCAAATAAATAACACCATTAAAAAAAATAACAACAGAGAGATGTGGCCAGTCATAGTAACTTCATCTTTCAAAATATATATTTCTGGGGATTTTAATTTTCATGTTTTTTAATATCTGCAGACCGCAGATGAGTGAATCAGCGGATACCGATTCCGCGGATCTGGGGGTCCTACCGTACTTGCCTTTTTATTGGTTACACGTCCTTTTATTTATTTTATTGGTTATACTGAGCAGTTGGGGCTATTGCTTATTTTTAATCTTTGTCCACGGCTCAGAGCGGCGCCGGAGACGAAGTCAGCGGCGTATAAATTTACGGGATAAATAAGTGGCAAATAAATAACACCATTAAAAAAAATAACAACAGAGAGATATGTTCTGGCCGCCGATCCCCACCTGACACGCGGTCGATGCTATACATTCTCTCCAGCTTTTTCCGCCGCCAGCTGTTCTCCCCGGTCGGGTGGTGGTGGTGGTGATGATGGTGGTGGTGGTGGTGAGGCTCCGAGGGCTCGAAGCCGTGCGGAGATGGCGCGGCCAGCTGGGTGCAGGCGGGACAGTCTTTGGAGACCTGCCGGTGGCTCGCCCAGCTCCCTTTGACGGCCCGGCTCACGTTGTGGGAGCTGCCGCCGTTTTTGAGCGGGTCTCCCGGCGGCTGCTCCTCATCCTCCTCTTCCTCTCCGTGCGGCTCTGCGCCCTCCTCCGGCTCGGCCCCCTTGAGGACCACCAGCTCCATGCTCTCGCTCTGGTGGTGCGAGAGCATGGGCCGCTCGCCGGAGATGGTGTAGACCCGGGGCTTGGGGCCCTCGCCCGACAGCTTCTCCCCGCGCTCCTCCGAGAAGCTCCGCTCAAACTTGCCGTCGGAAATCAGGGAGAGACGCCGCTTGTTCTGGCTCGCCTGGTGCATCTCGGGAGAGTCCTCCTGCCCGACGTAGGAATCCGCCAGGAGGTGATCTGAAACAAAGACCAAGGAGTGTGGTTGTGTGTTCCTCGGATCATGTGCCGTATTACAACCCACTCTGCGGTGACGACCAAGCATCGAGGAGGGAAAGCCTCGCACATTGTTCCTTTCGGGTGTGGGGAAAGTGCCGATCTCGGCCACGGGGTCAAGAAAGCCGACCGATCGTCCCCATCGGGTGTGAGGATTCGGGCGTTAAACTGGGATTGGAGATACCTGGAGTCTAATCCCCACTAAGCAATGAAACTCACTAGTTGATCTTGAACTCGCTGCTCCCGCTCTCAGCAAAGCAAAATGTGGTGCTTCTATAGAGCCCCGTAGTGCTTGAAACACTCTCTGGGCAGGATACAATTTAATTACGGAGGCTACACCCTGCCTTTCCCAGCAAGCTGGGCGTTCATTTGACCAACCTCAGAAGGCTGGAAGGCTGAGCCAACCTCGAGCCAGTTTCTTGACCCCAATGGGATCAAACTCAGGTTGTGAGCGGAGTCTAAACTGCAATAAAAAGAGTGTTGCGTATATACTGCCCCATAGCGCTTAAATCACTCTCTGGGTGGTTCACAATTTGATTCTGGAGGCTACACATTCCCCCCTCACAGCGAGCAGGGTACTTAATTTAACAGCGTAGGAAGGTCTTAAAGCTGAGTCAATTTGGGATTAAACCGTGAGCAGAGTTTTGGCCGCAGTCCTGCAGTTTAACCACCGCTCCACGAGGCTCCGAGAAGCATGACGGACACTGCAGGACTGTTGTGAGGAGGGAACCGAGCCGAGAACAGGAGCCACCCACAGCGTTTCCTGCGAGAACAGCAGGATAAAAATGGAAATCATACTAAAGGTCGCTCCCGAGTAACAAATACTTGTTATTCATTAGCCGTGCATGAAGAATACATTGGTATTAAATTTTTTTTTTTTAGTAAAAATCATTTCCAAAAGCACAGGAATGCCCCCAAATTGCTTTCCACTGGCACAACCAGCAAATATTACTCACTACACATTAAAAAGAATGACATTACGATTTCTTGCATCGTTTCTTCAAGTAATGACATTCCTCCGTGCGTCTAAAAAATCTTCTAACAAGTCATCTTACTTTTAACACATTTTTTCCCACTCACAATGAAAATGTATAAAATTCAGCACGGAGACTATTTAAACAAGCATCCCAAACTGAATCTCTGTAAACAAGTCATCTTACTTTTAACACATTTTTCCCACTCACAATGAAAATGCATAAAATTCAGCATGGAGACTATTTAAACGAGCATCCCAAACTGACTCTCTGTAACACACACATACACACACACACACACACAAATAAACACACACAGGTTTTTTTGTTCTTCGACTCCAAACAACCTTGAACAGTTTTTTTGACCATTACGAGCGGCCCACGAATATTTTGAAACAAACGAAAACTTACTCAAGACCTCAAAAGCCTTGATTTGCCAAATGTTCACCATATAAGACCACGAAGATTTCTGCAACTATTTATTTATTTGTTTATTTATTCATTCATTAATTCATTCCGCCTTTCTTCTTTAAAACAAATCCAAGGCGTATAAACAAACACAATTAACTTTGGTGCCTTCTCTTCCGGGAAAGCCCAGAGAAATGTCACCATGGGCCAAAATCGACTTGACACATATGATGATGATGGCTATTACAATTATTATTATTTTTAAAAAAACCCTGGCACAGTCAATCAAAATTATAAAAACACTGACTGGTAGTATCATATAACAGGGGGAAGTTTTATCCCAAACTTTAAGCGTCTGTTACATAGCGACATACGATATACGCTGTTCCTAATAGTGCCAATTTTTTTTGGAGCTCAGATGATGTCATTTCTGGGACCCAAGGATGATGAGGATGACTGCTTCTTCTAGTCCCTTTGTGAATTTCCCTTCCAACTCCGACGTGGCTTAGAAAGCCAAAACAAACCCACAGCTTTGAGGAGCATGAAAAACCAAGTCAAGATCCACCAGGCCCTCGGATTTTAATCCGAGGACGTGGGCTCAGCCCTTCGTTCCTGACCTCCCGCATAACCGCAGCACGCATAAATCACAGCAGCCATGTCTCTGTATTTTCGGGATCCGGGCCCCTTACCTGAACCATTCTTCCCCTCGGGATGATTCTGCGACAGATAATCTCCAAAGGCCCTCGCCGCTCTTCATGCAGCCGGACGCACGGAAGGGCCGGAGAAGCAGAGAGAGGAAAGAAAAAAAAGGAGGGGAGAGAGAAAAGATGGTTAGCAAAATCTGGCCAACAGGCAACCTGTTGGTCAAGAGATCTTCGATTTAGGAAAACGAGGTGGGAAGCAAACGCAGTAGCGACATTATGCATCTCCTTCTCTCCCTCTTCCCACCGTTTCTTCTAAATAAAAATTAGAGCGCTGGGAAATCTATTTATGAGTCTGCCGAAGCTGTTTTAGCCCCCGGGGCTTCTGGCTTCATCGTACAGTTGTGCGTTGTCTTCACCAACCCGTATCCTGAGCCTTCTCCCCCCCCCCCCCCGATGCCACGTGGTCCTCTCGTCCATCTAATGAAAACTAAAAGCCTTCTAAAATAGGATCACGACGCCACTGTGTTCTGTACAGCATCTTGTGCATGCACACACACACACACACGCAAACACACACACACACGGACACCTCTACACACACACACAAACACACACACACACGGGCACCTCTGTTTACACCATTATTCATTCTTTTCTTAGCCTTCATCAAAGCTATCCGGGCTGTGTATAAATGTGTGAACACAAAACTATGCACACAACCACACAGACATGCAACGGTAGGTTTGGAGACAACGCCAGAGGTTAGGAGTTTGATGGCCCCACGGTGTCTGGACTGGAGGATCCAGACGGTCCCTTCCAGCTCCGTAGTTCTCAGAGGATGATGATTAAAAAAAAACACAACAAAACCTCACCTTATCGTTTGCCTCAGGCTGGAGGAAATGTGAAGGCACAACCTATTTACAACTGCCTGCACGCACGGTTTAACACGGATGCATAGCGCAAAGTCAGTGTGAAGGGCACCTTGTGGGATCCGCCAGGAAATTGCACGCCAAGAGGCACATTTAAAAAACAAACCAATGTTCCTGAGCTAAGAACTGCAAGGATGCAAAAAACACAAGCCGGGGTCAAGGGGAAAGCGAAGGGTGGCAAGGGACACAGCGTTGTGCAAAAACGTCGTCCGTGCCGGCTGGCGATACCATAAATCATTGATCTGATGGGTTTCGCAAAGCGTTTTGGTTCAACCTTCTCAAAGCAGAAGCCCATCTGAGTTTCTACCGCAAGGGAAGGAAGCCGACCATTGCAAAAAGGCGACCCCGGAGGAAAAGGTGACGGGCTTGGCGTTGCTGTTAATGACAGGCCGTGCGGGACGGAAGCCAAGCAGGGAGACGAGGAGCTGGCAGGTGGGCCCAGAGCTCAAAGAGCATCGGGTTTCTAACCGCCCGAGCTTCCTTCCGTGTAACCCGACGCGGTTTCCGCGCACGAGAGCAGAGGAGAGAGACCAGGCTGGATCGAGATGTCTCGAGGGGAGACAAAAAAGCCAGAGCCGGCCACCGAAGATTCATTCATGGTCATGGCAGTTAAGGATGGGTGGGTGGGTTGTTCCGGGCATGCATTTCACCGCAGTGCTGTTTACGACGCACGGCATTCCCCGGCGACAAGCACACCGGAAACCTCACAGACGTTTCACAACACTGCACACCAAAATTAAGCCGAGTTCTAGGAGCACGGAGTAGGAAAGAGCTGCACATTTCCCTCTTGATTTCCAGTCAATGGGGTGAAATCTTCTCATTGACAGGCGCAGGATGTAAGACACCGCAGCATGAAGGACATGCAGATGCCCCTGCCTGAAAAAGGAGGGAGTTACAGATTCCCGGTTCTCAGGGCATGCAATGGCATGCAGGCACCCGACATGCAACGGCACATAGAAATCTGAAATAGATCACAGAATCCAGGAATGAGGGAGTTGGAAGGGGGGCCTTGAAGGCCATCCAGTCCAACCTCCTGCTCAAAGCAGGAACCTAAATCAAAGCAGATCGGACTGATGGTTGTCTAAGTTTCTCTTGAAGGCTTCTCCAGCGCTGGAGCGCTCAACACCTCTGAAAGTCATGGGTTCCGTTGTCGTACTGCTCTTACAGTTGAGAAGTTTTTCAATCTCTCTTCCTGATGCTGGAGCACCTGATGATGGGCCCTGAACACGGGGAGGATTGAGGACAGATCCTGCACCCCTCCTCTGGAGGACTGCCTTTCAAATCTTGCTAAAACCTGCCCAGTTCTTTCCATCTTCCCTCGTAGGGCTTGGTCTCCAGCCCACTCACCCCGATCCTCCTGGTCGCCCTCCTCTGAACTTGAATAATGATAATGATAATAATATTGGAACTGGGGTCCACTCCTCTTTTTTCCCCCAAAGAGGATTTTTGCCCTTCATAAGGCGGCTGCGTATAACTCGGTCCGCTCCCTGTGGCAAATCGCTGCACTGAACGCATTGGCCGCGGGTGGACGAGGGGGAATTTCGGCTCCTGTTGGCTTTCGGCGAATGTACAGAAATTCCCAACCGGGACACGCAAACGTGACTTCAAATTCTGAACACGCAGGTAAGTGAAATACACCGTTTTCCCTCGTCTTTACTCTCAATAGGCATCTGATCTGCCCGGTTCTCCAAGCCTAGTTCCAGAGCTGTGGGGTGAAAGATATAACCATTCCCCATCCCACCACGAGCAATCCATAATGAACTATCGAGACTAAAAATTCTGCATTCTGCAGAATTCTGTGTTCTGCAGAATCTGCATTCTGCAGAATTCTGCTTTCTGTGATCCACCATCCCGCTGGCAGAACGAGCGGGAATCTTCACCGAAGACATTTGCCTCTGTATGTGTGTGTGTGAGTCTTCCAAAGTGGTGTCGCTACTTGCTTGTTTACAAGCCAAGATGGCTGCGATCTAGATCGTTAATTACCACCTCGGGGGAGCGCTTCGCCAGGTCAGGTGGGGTTTAAATGAAGCGCTCTGCTCCGACTCTGGAGAGATTTCAGGCTGCGTTTCTCTGGAGCTGCTCCTCTACACAAGAGTCAGCTTGATCTCCCGTTTTAGTAGCCATCTTTGGCATCGGATTTTAAGGCCTGTGTTCTAATTTTTATGATTTTCACTGGGTTGTTGTTGTTGTTGTTGTTGTTGTTGTTTTTTGCTTTGTCCGTCTGTCTGATCTTACGGCCCATTAACCTCCCGGAATAGTGCATCGCGCTAAGGAGGTGGTATATAAATCAATGAATTTAATTAATTAATTAATTAACTCCATTTGGGCAATGCATGAGCCAAAAAGCCGCCCAGAGACCTTTGGGTAGAGTGGGCAGCATATAAGTTAAATAAATAAATAAATAAATAAAAATACAGACTCCCCAAAGACCTCATCTTGAAGGGCCTTTTTCTCAAAGGGGGGGGGGACACAAAGTGCATCTTCTCCCCCATCTGATACTATACCTGTTTTCCTTTCCTGGAAATCTGTTGGGCTGGGGTATGCGTGTGTGTTTGTCACATACCAGCAAATGGCTAAAGCTGGCACCATTTAATCTAGGGTGGGTAAAGAGGAACATGGCCTTTTAAGGCTGTTTTAGTGGCTCAAAGACACCCCCCCTTTCCCACTAGATTCCTGTGAAGAGTCAAACTGTCCCCCCTGGGAAAGAAATAGGCCTATGGACTTAACCCAGATTGTTCACCTCCAATTTCATCTTTTCTTTCCCCTGCAAATCTGGTGAATTATGGGCACCACCGACTGCCAGAAAGACAAAACAAGTGTGGTCCTCCAGCAAATCAAGCCCGAACTCTCTCTACAACCCAAAATGATTTTTTAAAAAATCGAGGCTTATCATACTTGGGCAATTCAAGGAAGAAAAGGCTGGATGGAAAATAACAATAATGCTGGGACGCTGAAGGCAGCAGGAAAAGAGGAAGCTCAAAGACGAAATGGATCGACTCAATAACAGAAGCCACTGCCTTAAATTTGCAAGCACTGAGCATATAATCACAACACTCCCCTGGAAATATCCACACGACAACTACAGTTTTATAAACAGCTCTCCAAGCAGAAGGGTGCCGATCCTCTTACGTGAAAACTCATTATGGCTTGTGCACAGCTTAAAATTCTGAGAACAACAGCATTATTTTTTAAAAAAAACCCAACAAACTTCTAGCTATCACTGTTCTGAAGAGAGTCTTGGAAAAAAATGAAGAAAGCAGTTGATAGATTTTCGGAAGCTAAGGCCATGGCAGGCAGGGGGTTGGGAAGAGTAAAACGATGGGCCCCAAGATTAAGATATCCGAAAGATGCGGTTTGTTAAGAGAATTCAGAACATAATTCTTCAACCATTTACGGACAGCACCAAAGTGCTCCCCCTTGCCCCATCGTCTGAGTTTCACCAAGTGTATTTTTTTCCAAGCTCCCCATCTCCTCCAGATTCTACATTTTTGTACCAAAATGTGTACATTGTTCTGTGATGAGAGGATGACTAGTGATCAACCTCAGCCTAACCCTAGCGGGGGGGGGAAAACCGTATTTTTCGCTCCATAAGACGCACCAATTTTTTAGGAGAAGAAAACAGGAAAATATAATCTTTTTTTGTTCGCTCCATAAGATGCACAGACTTTCCACCCCCTGTTTTGTGGGGGAAAAGTGCATCTTATGGTGCGAAAAATATGGTAATCCATTTATTCCTGACGGCAGGGCTTTGAGCACCGAGGAATCCAGACACCTTCCGGAACAGCAGATCCGACAAGTTTGGCGCTTTGCAAACTTAATTCCACCGCCTCTCCCTCACATTTGCAAAGGTTTGACCGCCTTCCTCGTCTCTTTCCTCCAGCCTTCCTCCTCCTTAAAAGGCAGCCACCCGAAGCTGTGAGGTTTCTCTCCCAGCTGCAAACTGGGCATGCTTGCCGTCCTCTTCTCGATCTGGGGGAAAGTGGGCCAGTGGCGGGCATCAGCGTGGCACTACGTCCTTTACCAAAGAGGCTCTTTCCAACCCGGGCAGACGATGATGATCCTCGGGGCTAAAGCACAGAAAAGCTGCTGCTTCTTTCTGCCCACCCACCCCGAAAATAAGATTTCACAATTGGAGATGCGATGTCAAAGGAAGAGGCCCAGGTCGGAGGAAGGGTCTG